ACAGTATGGCGATAAAAAGGTAGGCATATTTGTATAACCCGAGTCAACAACATAGTATTTATCTGTTCAACATGTATGTATCTATTATTATGGGTTGACAAAAGAATATTCATTATAAATTAACAAAATGCCATATAATACGTACCTGTTGGTGGCATTGGAAATAAATTTGTTGGATCATGTATGGTTTCAATGAACACTCTAGAATCATTTGCAGTGCCCTCCCAACTGGCCAATACATACGTAAATCACATATCAAATGAGCAAACACACATTACATTTTGCATTGTAACTGTATGCTTACCCCGATATGGTATTTGCTCTGATGCTGGCACCCTTGCAGATATGTGGGTACCATCAATTGCTCCAACACAATCCTATTTGACAAATGACTTTAATAATGCAGGATATTTTACTAAAATTTATATTTCAAATATTCTGTTAGTGATTACCTTAAAAAAATGATAGAAGCGTGGATTATGTCGAATTTCTGCAGGCACCTCATCAAAATCTAGAGGCCTTGTAACTTGTTTACCAAGCCTACACACTGCCTTCAAGACTCGGTTGAAGTATTTGGAAATGGTCTGGCCAGAATGTTGGAATCGCTCTTGGACAACACGATTTCCTTCGTTGTAACCAATTGTTAGCAAAAATATACAAACTTGCTTTTGGACAGTCAAATAACGTGAGTGTTCCAGTTTACCATATACCTTAAGTGCCTCACACAAATTAATAAATACATCTGGTTCCATTCTAAAATTTTCCTTAGACCTTCTTTCATGGCCATTCAATATTTCTAATACGTAGTCATGTCCTTGTAATATGGACATTCGGCATGGTCTAGGTTGAAGGTAAGTATTACAATACTCATGTAGTGCTACACACACACCAGAAATTGTATATTTTCATCGTCACTGTCTGAGTCAAAACTCAAATCAAGAGCATGCATCGGCTCCATATATATCATTGTGATATAGTGCTGACCCCTTAAAAACAAAAGTATTAGTGATAATGAAAATACATGAAATAATGGTCACACAAGAATTTTTTCTTTCATTGAATTTTTTTCGGTTTGGTAACCATTTTGTTTGGTCCAATTCAAATGTTGGCTCCATATATTTTAATTTCATATCACTTTAAAATAATTAAAATAACCCACATCTAGTGATGTCCAATTCAAATGTTGGCTCCATATACAATTGACTACCGTGAGTTGAACAAAGTAACTATCAAGAACAGTTACCCACTACCCGAATAGGTGACCTGTTTGATCAACTTCAAGGAGCACAAGTGTTCTCTAAGATAGACCTTAGATCCGGATATCACCAGCTAAAGGTGAAAGCAAAAGACATTGAGAAAATCGCTTTCCGAACTAAATACGGACATTATAAATTCTTAGTCATGCCATTTGGGGTAACTAATGCACCTGCAGCATTCATGGACTTAATAAATAGAATGTTCAAATAATTCCTTGATAAGTTTATTCTTGTGTTCATCGATGATATATTGATTTATTCTAAAAGCAGGGAAGAACATGAAAATCACCGGAGAATTGCTTTACAGATTCTGAGAGAAAAGAAGTTATATGCAAAAAATTTCAAATGCGAATTTTGGCTTGACAGTGTGCCATTTTTGGGGCATATAATCAACAAGGATGGTATCTCCGTTGACCCACAGAAAATTGAAGCTATTGTGGACTGGCCTAGGCCGACAAATGTATCAGAAGTTCAAAGTTTCCTAGGACTTGCATGCTATTATCACAGATTTGTAAAGGATTTTTCCAAACTTGCTTTGCCACTCACTCAATTGACATAGAAAGATACACTATTTGATTGGACTGATCAAAGAGAGACTGTTTTCCAAGAGTTAAAGACCAGGTTAGTAACTGCACTAATTTTGACTTTGCCTAATGGTACTGATGGGTTTCAAGTTTACAGTGATGCTTCCCACAAAGGTTTGGGGTGTGTGTTGATGCAAAATGGAAAGTGATTGATTATGCTTCTCGACAACTCCGCCCTCATGAAAAGAACTATCCAGCCCATGACCTTGAATTAGCCGCTGTGATATTTGTTTTAAAAACTTGGCGCCATTATCTGTATGGAGTAACTTGTGAAGTATACACAGATCATAAAAACTTAAAATATTTTTTCACCCAAAAAGAGTTGAACATGAGATAGAGGAGATGGTTGGAATTGATCAAGGACCACAATTTGTAAATTTTGTATCATCCAGGGAAGGCAAATACCGTTGCAGATGCATTGAGCCGAAAATCTATTGGGAATTTGTCATGTTTGCTCACCAGTCAGAGAGAGTTATTGTGTGGCTTGGAGAAGAATGAAATTGAAATTGTGTTACGTGAACAAGGTAGGATCTAGGTTGCCATTTCTGCCCAACCTACAATAATTGAAGAAGTTAAAGAGAAACAACGTGAAGATAAGTTTCTGAGGAAAATTGTTGATGAGATTGACTCAAAATCGAGACTAGGATTTGTGCTTGACAATGATGTGTTGAAATTTCAGAATCGCCTTTGTGTGCCAGAATGTTTTGACTTGAGGAAACGCATCATGGTTGAAGCTCACAATTTGAAATTTTCTATGCATCCGAGAAACACAAAGATGTATCATGACTTGAAACAAAATTTCTAGTGGCCGGGAATGAAAAAGTGTATTGTAGATTTTGTAGCTAGATGTTTGCACTGCTAACAAGTTAAAGCTAAACATCAATGACCTGCCAGATTGCTACAGTCGCTTCCAATACTGGAATGAAAATGGGAACATGTCACAATGGACTTCATTATGGGATTACCTCGCTCTCCTTGAGGTATGGACTATCTGGGTAATTGTTGATCATTTGACTAAATCTGCACATTTCTTACCTATTAAATCTTTGTATAATGCGGATAAGTTGGCTAACTTATATGTTAATAAGATTGTGAGATTACATGGCGTGCCAGTATCTATTGTATTTGACATAGATCCTAAGTTCACTTTAAGATTTTGGCAGAGTCTACAGTAAGATCTGGGGACTAAATTGAGACTAAGCAGTGATTATCACCCACAGACAGATGACCAATCTAAACAGACCATTCAGACGTTGGAAAACTTGTTACGGATGTGTGCCCTAGACTTTCAAGGCAATTCGGAAACCTATTTACCATTGGCCGAATTTGTGTATAACAATAGCTACCATTTGAGTATCGGCATGACTCCTTATAAAGCTTTGTATGGTAGAAAGTGTCGATCTCTAATCTGCTGGGCTGAAGTAGGTGACAGACCTTTGTTAGGACCAGAACTTGTGCAAGAAACAACTGAGAAAGTGAAACTGATTCAACAACGTCTGAAAACTACACAGAGCTACCAAAAGAGTTATGTAGATGTCCAGAGGAAGAATAGGGAATACGAAGTTGGTGGCCATGCATTCATAAAAGTAACTCCAATGAAGGGTCAAACCCGATTTAGGATGAAAGGAAAGCTAGCACCAAGATACGTTGGCCCGTATGCAATTTTAGAGAAAATTAACTCAGTAACATACCGAGTAGCCTTACCTCCGGTGATGGAAAATATGCACAAAGTTTTTCATGTTTCAATGCTTTGGGATTATTTGAGAGATTCATTACATGTCATTGAACCAACCCATGTGCTTCTGAAAAAAGATTATACATATGAAGAAATGCCAATTCAGGTGGTTAACCGAAGAATCAAGAGATTGAGGAACAAGGAAATTCCATTGGTGAAGGTTGACTAGCAAAACCACGGAGGGACTTATGCAACATGGGAAATGAAAGAATACATGATGAAGAGATACCCTGACTTATTTCCTTTGGATCTAGTGTTCTTTCAAAATGAAGGTAATTCGAGTGTGAAGGACCAAACTCTTTAAGGAGGGAAGACTGTAACAACCCCGACTTCTGATTAACGTTAAATGAACCTAATCAGTAATTAAGTGAAATTCTGAATTAATTGCATGTGTATGTGCCGCATTATTGTGTTTATATCTACCTATCGTAGAAAGATTTGTTTGCATTTCTGTTTCTTCTTGTGAATTGAAGGCCTTATCGGCATCCAATTAAGAAATTGACTTGATTTATGTGCTATTTAGGATTTTTAGAACATTATGGTAGGTTTAATTAGGTAGCGTTTGGTAGCGTTTACGTTTTTTGTTTATGTTTACAAAAATTTTATAAACTGATTTTTGTTTATTTTTAGAAAAACATAAATAATAAACCCGTTTGGTTTAGACAAAATATTTGAAAATTTTTGAAAACATAAACTAAGAAACATGTTTGTTAAGGCCTAATTTTTTTTAAAATTTTTTTTTTAATTTTTTTTAAATTTTTTTTGACAATGGGATCATACACATTATCCATAATAATCATATTGATACAATATCAACCATAGATAAATTTAATAACCATAATAAACCATAATGTTCATAACAACTTACAAACTATAATAATAACATCTCAATTCTTCCACAAACCATAAAAAAAAAACATCTTCCACAATCTATTATACGCATAAATAATATTTCAATTGTTTCCGAGAGATTCCCAAATTTGACCAACAATTTGATTCCTTACATCAGACATGTGACGTAATTGAGGTTGACTAATGTCTAAGTCAATTGGTTGCTGAGAACTACTTCCTGCATGTGTCGAGCTACTACTACCACCTCCACTAGGCCCATCATCTTCAACGATACGATCTCGATTGGCCCATTCAGCGAACAATGTGTCACTTTGAGAATGTGTCCTTATCCAGTTGTGTATTGTACAACATGCAATGGGGATGTATCTCTGCGTCTTAGTTGAATACGGAGGCATGTCTCTCAAAATTGGAAAACGAACCTTCAAGACACCGAAGCATCTCTCAATCACATTGCGCAGTGAGGAGTGTCGGTAATTGAACATTTGCTTCTTGTTTCTTGGTTGTCGACGTTGATTACGAAACTCATTTGGATGGTACCTCTCACCACAGTATGGCGATAAAAAGCTAGGCATATTTGTATAACCCGAGTCGACAACATAGTATTTATCTGTTCAACATGTATGTATCTATTATTATGGGTTGACAAAAGAATATTCATTATAAATTAACAAAATGCCATATAATACGTACCTGTTGGTGGCATTGGAAATAAATTTGTTGGATCATGTATGGTTTCAATGAACACTCTAGAATCATTTGCAGTGCCCTCCCAACCGGCCAATACATACGTAAATCACATATCAAATGAGCAAACACACATTACATTTTGCGTTGTAACTGTATGCTTACCCCGATATGGTATTTGCTCTGATGCTGGCACCCTTGCAGATATGTGGGTACCATCAATTGCTCCAACACAATCCTATTTGACAAATGACTTTAATAATGCAGGATATTTTACTAAAATTTATATTTCAAATATTCTGTTAGTGATTACCTTAAAAAAAGGATAGAAGCGTGGATTATGTCGAATTTCTGCAGGCACCTCATCAAAATCTAGAGGCCTTGTAACTTGTTTACCAAGCCTACACACAGCCTTCAAGACTCGGTTGAAGTATTTGGAAATGGTCTGGCCAGAATGTTGGAATCGCTCTTGGACAACACGATTTCCTTCGTTGTGACCAATTGTTAGCAAAAATATACAAACTTGCTCTTGGACAGTCAAATAACGTGAGTGTTCTAGTTTACCATATACCTTAAGTGCCTCGCACAAATTAATAAATACATCTGGTTCCATTCTAAAATTTTCCTTAGACCTTCTTTCATGGCCATTCAATATTTCTAATACGTAGTCATGTCCTTGTAATATGGACATTCAGCATGGTCTAGGTTGAAGGTAAGTATTACAATACTCATGTAGTGCTACACACACACACCAGAAATTGTATATTTTCATCGTCACTGTCTGAGTCAAAACTCAAATCAAGAGCATGCATCGGCTCCATATATATCACTGTGATATTGTGCTGACCCCTTAAAAACAAAAGTATTAGTGATAATGAAAATACATGAAATAATGGTCACACAATAATTTTTTCTTTCATTGATTTTTTTTCAGTTTTAACCATTTCGTTTGGTCCAATTCAAATGTTGGCTCCATATATTTTAATTTCATATCACTTTAAAATAATTAAAATAATTTCATATCAATTACGCAAATAATTAAAATAATTTTTGGTGCCTTTTTCTTGCTCATTCTTTTGTTCCTCTTGTCAATAGTGCCCAAGCCAAAGAATAAATATGGGAGCGGTGACATATGCTACAAAGTCAATTGATTATTTTTTAGGTATAGGCCCAAGTAGTTTTATTGGTCTAGTACATTGAAGGTCTTGATTAGAGATGAGAGTATTTTTGTTCAAGTTATGGACTTAAGCCCATGAGATACATTAAAGCATCTACACCATACCAAATAGTACTATAATCTCAAAAATAAACTTTACAGCTTAAAAAGTGACATCTCAAAAATAAAAAATGGTAATTCTCTGCTCTAATGTACTTTTGTCATCCATCTCAAACTCTACACTCAGCCCAGCTTTGATTATTTTGGCAATGCCTATTAGGGTGTCAATTCCAACAGTATGCCAAGTATGCATAACTGAGCATCCACAGTGCATAGTGAATGCATGCACGTAAATAAGACTCATTTTGTTTCAATTCAATGTCAATTCAATCATTTTAATTCATGTCAGAAACCCACATGTAGTGATGTTTTATATGACTTCAAAGTTTGGGGAAATCCAGACACATTGACTAGAACAGAACAGTATCAATAATCTAGACACATTGGCACATTTCATCGAACAGGTAATGGAAAAAACAATGTTGACAATACAGTGACATAAGAATTTTGTATAGAAGAAGATCATACATACCTTGCAATGCAGTGTTGAGAATGCAGTGATACAATGTTGACAATACTTCCTATGCAATGTTGACAATGCAGTAAAAAGAGCATACTACTAATAAACATTATATAGGAGAAAGAGCATTCAATACTTCAACTAACCATAAACTACCATAATAAAAAGAGCCTGCATACCAGTACCATATTATATCAATAATGGAGAGCCTGCATACCATTTACTCAATTTTATATCTACCCATCTACCCATCTCTTTGCAGTACAATATTAAAAACATGTTGGATACACCTAAATCTGTTTCCATAATAAATTATTCTGAAACAAATAAAATAAAATAAAATAAAAACAACAATACAACAGTTATAGCACCGAATTTGTTACAGCACCAAATATTATCCAACAATACAAGCTTGTTCACAGAATACACCAAGTCTGTTAAAATAAAAAGTACAATAAGTGTGTTATAGCACCAAATATTATCCAACAATACAACAGTTACAGTACCAAATATAAACTTCCATAATAAGTCTGTTTCCACAATAAACTACCAAATAAATTAAACAACACAAACACATACCACACTAAATCTGCAGCACTCTCTCATAATAGCTTTCAAAGATTAAGGACCTAATCCCTCATCCTACCAGCAGGCATATCAACAAATACCTCCCTTATTATGGGATCCGATGCAAGTTTGTTCATAGCTTTAGTGTAAGCAGCAGCAGAAATTTCCTTCATACCATGCAATAGTGCCATGCACTCTTTCAGTAATGAACGTGATGAAGTAGAGCCACCTTCAATTGAACCACTGTCATCGCCAACAGTAGTAACTGAAGCACTTGTGAAACGCTTTTCCATTAGGTCCACCTTCCTCTTGCTATTTTCACTCATTTTTTTGAGTGCTTCAGAAATATTAGCTTGAAAAGAGCTCATCTTTTTACTCTTTTTACCTCTCATTTTGCTCTTGCCCTTGCCCTTGCCCTTGCCTTGGCCATCTCTATTGTCATTATCACTATCAATTTGCAATGCATCTAACTCCTCATTCTTTACCTTAAATTCAGGATCAGAACTGGCACTACTTTCAGAAGGTGATTTGGTGGAAGGAAAAGCTAGTTTACCAGTTGCGGATGTGTCTCCTAAGATACGAGACAACTCATGGTAGCAAACCATCCCTTTCTTCCTAAACCTCTTTGCATGGGTATTAACCTACAAACCAATGAATTTCAAGTTAACATGAAGAATTCTCCAATTAAATGTAGTAAAGAAAATGCAAAAAGTTAATTAAACCTTGTAAAGGGCTTCCCAAACGTCATCCGGTGCAGTGATAGTAAGTCGCTGGCTATCCCAACCAACACCAGTATGCTTCAGTAATGATGTAAATTTGTTGAACATAATACGCAGCTGATTGTATTTGTTCCGAAGCTGGTGTGCGTTATACTGGTATTGGGTTTTTGCGTTCATTTGATCTCTCAACCTGTTCCAAGCTTGTTTAGTGAATGTTCAAGTTATTTTACTATTCTTAGTTTTCACCTCCTCATCCATGAGGGTAATGAAAAGAGCCTCATTTGTCTGAGGCCACGGACCACTGTTTCCTCTACCAATTTCAACAACATCATCATCATCAATGGGGAGATCATAGTGTATTGTTGATGCCATTACCTAAATATTTATATTTATTCATAGATAAAAAAATTTCAAAAAAATATAAGTCAAATAAAATGAAGAGACATTGAAGAATAAACAGCAGTTTAAATATCCTGTGGGTTGGTATAGCAGATTTCGAAGATTTCTAGCAAATAAGTCAAATAAATGAAAATATGAGTTTACTAGCATATAAGTCAAAAAATAGCATTCTGTTAAAATCAAATAAATGTATAGATTACTAGATTAGTAGCATTCTGTTAAAAGTAGCACTTAAGTGAAAAAATAGCACTTAAGTCAAACAATAGCACTTACTAGCATTCTGTTAAAAAATAGCACTTAAGTCAAAAAATATAAGTCAAATAAATGTATAGATCACTAGCATTCTGTTAAACGTGTACTAGCATTTGAAGCTTTCGAAATCTCCCAAAACCCAATTCAGTTTCAAGCAAAACCCATCAATGAAAATATGAAATTCTGAAATTGGACCCTCAAAACCACATAATACTGACACATGAAAGAGAAAAAAACCAGAAATTGAAGAGGATAACCAATCCAAGCACATACATATGTGCAAACATATCATCTATGTATATACAATGAACATTTAACTCATCAGACAATGCACTTAAAGCTCTTAACTAGTAACTAAAAGATCTCACTCTCCAATTTTCATCATTTTTCAGCGTTTTTTTTTTGCCCCAAAAAAATAGTACAGACGCAGTCAAATATTCCAAATCTCTCAAAACCCAAGACAGTTTCAAGCAAAACCCATCAACAAAAATATGAAAAATCAGAACTTGGACCCTCACAAGCACATAATACCGAGAAAAAACCAGAAATTCAAGAAAAAAACCAACCCAAACACATACATATATGCAAACATATCATGTCATATATATATACAATGAACATTGTAACTCACTAGGCAAAAAATATCTCCCCCTCCCATTTCCTTCATTTTTCAGTTTTTTTTTTTTTTTTTTGCCCATCAAAAAAATAGTATAGAACCAGTCAAATATTCAAAATCTCCCCAAAACCCAATTCAGTTTCAAGCAAAACCCATCAATACAAACATGAAAATCTGAAAAATGTCACTTTTAATGCTCAACTCTCATTGTAACAGACAGAATGTAAGAAACTCTCATTGTAACAATATATATATTTTCAATTCTGATGCTCAAGTCTTGACAACAATCTGATTTCATGTTCAACAATGGCTATGGCACAGGTTAATCAGGGCTCCTTCCAAGGTCCTATAGAAACAAGTTGAAAAATACTAAAATGAGGTCTAGACCAGCAATTTTGAAGCTAAATCAGATTAGGTTTGAGGCTTTGAACATATTCTAAATCAGGGTGAGGTTTCCTCCGATCAGGTCAGCTTAATGGCAAGGGTTGTTGCCATCCCCATTCAAGTATAAAGGCAGCAAAACTTCATTCTTGTTTGAATTCAACCTACATCTGCTAATTCTCTTCAACACAGGCATAAAACTGCATTGTCACCGCAAGTCATACAATTTGTACTCTCAACAGACACGAATCTATTCTACAAAATGGATAATAAAACAATAGCTGTACTTTATGGTTCATTTTGTGCATATTAGGTCCCTCAAAAGTGACATTTCTTGGATTACCCAGATATGCTTGAAGAAATGTAGAGGTATATTCTTGATTAAAGGAATGAGGTTACACAGTAGATGATATTTATGTTGGAAAAATGGTTTAATATAGGCATATTTTTGAGCCCTAATTTGAGTGGCCCCAAACAACGTTTGGGGTAGGTCCGAAGAGGTGACGTGTTCCTTGCCGCGTGGCAAGTCACACGGTGAAGACGGAACGTCAAAACCATTTATGAGTGAATGGGAAGTTGGCGTCGTTTTCGGGTCTAACATTAATTTTTTAGATAAAATTCATTTGAATTTTTTCAATAAAAATTATTGTGAGAATTTAATTTAATTCTAAATTCAAATTTTAGGTTCCTAAAAAGTTTCTAAAAGTTTTTTTGTACCTTATCATTTATTTATTTATTTAACTATTTCAATAGTTTAATACATATATATTTAATAAGTTTAATATATATAATATATATATATATTGAAATAGTTTGAATAAATAATAAAGTCTACAGGTTTTAATATGTGACCAACGGTTTCATATTCAAAAGTTGAATAATTTGTTCAAAAGTTCCAACAGTTTGATATTTGTCCACTAACGGGCAAACTTTTCAAATTGTTTGAACATTGTTTTCCTTAGTACCTTGGTCAGACAAATTGTTTGAAATAAGAGGTGCACCTTTTCACTTAATTGTGGCACCTATT